ATGCCATGTCTGAAATGAAGAACTTTAGATGTAGAAGCATAATGTTGGCTAGAACACCCATCAGAATGATCAAGGTCACATTTCACACCTTACTCTAAATGTGATGCTCTAGTGAATAATATTTCAGAAAGTTTTAATGATATGTTATTAGATGCTAGAGAACAGCCACTTATTCCATGTTTAGAAACTATTAGGAAATTATTGATGGCAAAAAACTTTTACATGGAAGGGACCTTTCTGTCCTACTATTATGAAAAAAATTACCTTAGTTAAGCATGTTGCTGGTGGCTGTTTAGGGTGTTAGAGTGATGAGCATTTGTTTGAGATAAAATGTATGGCAGGGAATGGGAGTTTAGAGCAACATACTGTTGATCTACTTAGGAGGGCTTGTAGTTGTAGGAAATGGGACTTAACAGGATTGCCATGTAAACAAGGAGTTTGTGCTATATGGATTAAGAGTGGTAAAAGTGGTGTTGTGCATCATTATGTAGACAACTCCTATTCAATTAATTGTTACATGAATACTTATGAAGGGAGAATTAAGCCCATTGATGGTCCTGCTGAATAGCCTAAGTCAAACAAGTCACCACCATTGCCCCCATTGTACACCAGTAGGCTTAGAAGACCCAAGAAATTGAGAAAGATGTCTAACCATGAGATGACCAAAGATGGAACACATATGAACCGTAGTTTGATTGTCAAACATTTCAAGAAATGCAACAAGCTAAGGCAGGGCATAATGTTATGCAAGAACATACCCAATTGATCTTATTGCCAGACAGAGAAAGGTATATAATTTACTTATCAAATTAATTCTTCCTTGTTTATTACACTGTAAAAATGACACTAATCAATTTCCATTTTTTTGTCATCTAGCTTACTCCCAAAAGAAGGAAAATTAAGCACCAAACTACAACTGGACCTGGAACTCAGCCTGCAACCGCAACTGGGCCTGGAACTGAAGCTAGAGTTATGAGGATGCCTGCAATTGCAATCGGAAGTGAAGCAGGAGTGTTGAAGATGTCTGCAATTGCAATTGGAAGTGAAGCTAGAGTTGGTTCTGAGCCTGCAATTGCAACTGGAAGTGAAGTTGGTTTATTAGAGAAGGATATCACTATAGATTTCTGAACTGAAGCAGTTGAGGTAGTTGCTATGTTTGGCAATGTTCCTAAGGTTGGTGTGGGTGTTCAGCAAGAAGAAATGACAATAACTCAACTCCAAATAGACTTTGACATGTCTCAGCCACAAATTAGAGCCCAACTGACCCAAGATGGAACAAAACAAACCACACCTTCCAAGACCCCCAAGGCTTCAAAGACTACAAAGACTACCAAGACTACCAAGACCCTACATATTAGAAGATATGACAACTAGATCTAATCAGAAGTCAAAATTCACCAACACCATTGACACACCTCTTACCATTGATTAAATGCATGGATTGTTGTTGTTGAAATGAATATTTTGCTAGCTGATGTTTTGCTACTGTTGATGCATTAAATCAACTTCTAATGTTTTGCTACTTTCGGTAGTCATAATGTAGTTGATTGTGATTAAAATTGCTCATTGTATATGTTTTAAACTCTTTTGGTAATGCAGTAAGCCAGTATATGCCCTTTGGTCATTTGGTTTTTGTCCTTTACATTAGCCAAGGCAGTGAGGCAGTAAGTCAGTATATGCTATTTGGTCATTTGGTTTTTGTGAATTCATTAGCCAAGGCAGTAAATCACTATGACAGTAAGGTAGTAAGTCAAATTGGTTTTGCACATAACATACCACTTTTAGTGCAACTTTTACCAAAACAGACAGTACATTATGGGAGCATAGACACACCTAAATTATCATTTTTCTCTACAACCAAACAACTCATTACCACAACAATAACAACTACACAACCATCATGGATTTACATTTTCTACTCCTCTGCTTCTCCTTCATTTCTTCCAAAATTAAGAAAAAATGTACGAACCTTACATCTTGAACATTCCCAGTACCTCCTACTTGAATTTTCATTTGTTCATGAAGTCTTCAAAACCATTTCTTGCCGACATTGACATTATTGAATTGAAATTCATTCCCCATACGCGTAGCACTTCCTCATTGTATTCGAAGAATTGGAAAAATTAGAGCTTTCTCCTTTGTATCTTTCCATTCTAGCTAACTTTCTAATGCTAGATTCAGATGGGTAGAAGATTTTGTATGCAATTTGGCAAGGAAAGGGATAAGAAACCAGTTAAAAGAGTAGAGAGAAGCTAACACATGAATTGACGCAATTGCCCTTGGATTTCACGGCTTTGAGATGGAAAAGTTAATGGTGGACCAAAAGTGGAACACTACTTAACATAAGAGTGGTTGCAATGTGGCAAGGCAAATAATGGTGGACTAAAATTGGAATGCCCCCTATAATAGTAGGACTAAAAATGGAATTAACTCATATATATATATATATATATATATATATATATATATATATATATATATATATATATATATATATATATATATATATATATATATATATATATAGAGTTAATTCCAGCAATGGTCCTCCGACTATATTGATTTTCCAAAATTAGTACTCGACTTTTAATTTGGACACTTTACATCCTTTGACTTTCAATTTCTTTCCAATTGAGGTCCTTTCATCAGATTACGGTAAAGTAGACTTTAAATGAAAGGGTAAATTAGTCATTTCATCTGCCTAATGTATAATTCTTCGTATTTCTTCCTTGTATACGCGACTTCGGACATCAGATTCACTTAATTGCTTAATCGCTAATGGAATTTTGTTCTTCGAGTGGATTTAGGGATTAAGCAATTAAGTGAATTTGATGTCCGAAGTCGCACATACAAGGGAGAAATACGAAGAATTATATATTAGACAGATAAAATGACTACTTTGCCCTTTCATTTAAAGTCCAATTTATCATAATCTGACAAAAGGACCTCAATTGGAAAGAAATTGAAAGTCAAGGGATGTAAAGTGTCCAAATTAAAAGTCGAGGACTAATTTTGGAAAATCAACATAGTCGGAGGACCATTGCTGGAATTAACTATATATATATATATATATATATATATATATATATATATATATATATATATATAATGGAATTAGCCTCCTGATGCACTAACTTACTAATCATGTAATTTTGAACTTAATTGAATATTTTAGCGAGTTTAATGAATTTAAATGAAGTTTTTTTTTTATTACTTAGGGAACTCAATTGTACTATCCGTTTGACTTATGGAGTCAATTTGACTTTTTTTTTTTTTAAATATTATATTTTAATTTAAAAGTATTACATTTTTTTCTTAAAAGTATTACACTTTTCCTTATATGTGACAAATAATTTATTCATAATTACTATTGTATTTTTTTTTTTTATCATAAGTAGTACTAGATTTCCATTTTGACACGAGGACGGTCTAATAGGAATTGAAACTCACCCAATATTTATTAGTGTTGTAAGTAGTGTAGAATGAAATATCCATGAATCCACACTACAAGAAAAATGCACATAGAAAATGGTTAATAACCGTTGTCATAGGGGTAAAATTTTTGTTGTTGAAGTCGGTGTTGTTGTAAGTCCCGCGCATAGACAACGGTTTTTAACCGTTGCTTTTTCTAGAAACAACAACGATTTTTTAACCGTTGTCTATTAAGTGTTGTTGAAGCTGGTGTTGTTGTAAGTCACGCACATAGACAACGGTTTTAAACTGTTGTCTTTTCTAGAAACGAAAATGGTTTTAAAAAACCGTTGTCTTTGTAGTGTTGTGCATTCTAGTGCGCTTAAAGACAACACACCAACGACAACGGTTAAATAAAACCGTTGTCTTTTTTTTTAAAAAAAAAAAAAAAAAGAGCACACAAAGACAACGGTTTTAAACAACCGTTGTCTTTCTAGTGTTGTGTATTCTAGTGCGCTTAAAGACAACACACCAACGACAACGGTTAAAAAAATCGTTGTCTTTTTTTTTTTTTTAAAGGCACATAGACAACGGTTAAAAAAACCGTTGTCGTTGTGGTGTTGTCTTTTCACAAAATGCACAAAGACAACACACTTATAACAACGGTTAACTAAAAACCATTGTCTTTGACAAAAGCGTTGCACCAAAGACAACGGTTTTGGACCAAACTGTTGTCTTTTATACAAAAGACAACACTTTTCTTAAAAACTGTTGTCTTTCTAGTATTGTCTATGTGCATTTTTCTTGTAGTGCCATAGCCTAGCCTTGATTTAATTTATGAATATGCTTAGTTTGCATGTATGTAGAATAACATATGCAAGCATTGGTACGTGCGACTAGCTTAAGTAAAATTAATGCTCCATTTGCATGGAATTTGTAAATGTCACGTTACATATATGTTAATGCCAGACTACCTGTATCACCTTTAGAGATATCTATAATTCAATGAGGAAATTAGACAATTAGTTACTGTGTTTGATGGTGAAAATCCTAGTTACACCCAAAAATAATATATTAAAATTTATAAATTCATAATTGGCATGATGATGCCATTTGAAGCTAAGGTTGAATTGAAACATACAATAGCAACACTATGGCATTAATTGTTACAATATAATTGGTGTGGTAAGTTGAGTGTGGGTAGATCAGATGAGATGAGCAAGTAATGACAGACAAAAATGGATATGATGCTGTTTAATAGTCTAGTTTTCAGCTTGTTCTTTAACAAACCATCCTAAAGCATCTCTGATCCATTATAGAGAAATTGTAGGATGGATGAGAAATCTTTCGTTTTAGTAATTTACTCCGAAAACTGTGAAATTAAGTAAAGACTAATTATATCATCATCCTGATGTTGAAACCCATATATATACATAATCAATCTCTGTACTATTGCAAGGATCTATCATAATATCATTACATTGATTCATTATATCCGGTAATTATTACAAACACACACACACACACATATATATATATATATATATCAAATCTCCTATACTAGCTAGCTAGCAAGGCATTAACGTAACATGGCTGAAGAAAATACAGCTGATCATCATACTCCTCACGAGGGCGCAGAGACGACAGAACAGGCGCCGGCGCAGGCGACAATCGCCGACGCAAGAGCCCTTCCTCCTCCACCGCCTCCACAAGAAGACCCAGAGGCTCAGTCTCAGCCGGCGAGCAAGAAAAAGAGCTTTATGGAATTCTTTAATTTGAGAAACCTTGTGAATTTCGTAGCCATTATGGCCTTCATTCTGTCCATTCCAATCATGTTCATAGTGATATATTTGGTATACATCGGACGGTACGAGTGCGAGAATCTACTGAGTCTACCCAGGTTACAATTGGCCATAGCCATTTTCTTGGCGGTGGTGTTCGTGGTGAGCAACCTGGTGGTCTACTTCAGATCCCGGTTTCCGATCACCGGAGTACTGGTGGTGATGATCCCATTGCTCATCATCCTGGTGGTCGGGCTTGGCCTGGTGGGAGCCTACAAAGTGGAGTCCCGCAAAATCCTTGGGTCTCCTTCTTGGCTCAAATCCAAATTGCACGATGACGATGACTGGTCCGGGATCAAGTCTTGCATTTATGAAACCAGAACATGCAAGGATTTGATCTCCAGATCTTACCTTCTCAAACCCTATGATTTCACCCCCAATAAGCTCTCATCCATTGAGGTAACTATATATTTATACCTATATATAGGGTCACGTTCAGGTGCAAACCGGATAACGAACTACTGAAAAATTGCACTGCATCAGACTTAATTGAACCACAAGATCCTCCATATGTCTGAGAGTCGTTGCAGTGCAATCAGTGGATTAAGGTTGGTTTGCATTTGAATGTTTATATATATATATATATATATATATATATATATATATATATTTATTGATGTGTAAGAAATTAGAAATTAGGGTCAGGTTCAGGTGCGAATCGACAAACTACTGAATTGTATTGCATCAGACCAGATTGCATCACAAGGTCCTGAAAACATGTCTGAGAACAGATGTTGTGCAATCATTTAGTAGTTTGTTCGCAATTGAATGCTTATATATATGTATATAAAAGATCTGAATTGAATTGTAAATTGTATTGAATTTGAATTTTCAGGCGGGTTGCTGCGTTCCGCCGCCGATCTGCGACATGGAGTACGTGAACGTGACCTACTGGAGGATTCCGGCGAATGTAACGGCGGAGAGCAGCGATCTATACATCAGCGACTGCAATCTGTGGCGGAACAAAGAGAGCGTTTTGTGTTACAACTGCAATGCGTGTAAAGATGGGTACTTGAGAACCTTGGAGGAGAAATGGCTGCGTCTCGGCACTTTCCTCATCACCATTTCTCTGCTACTCGCCACCTCACATCTCTTGCTCTTTGTCGCTACAATGTGGAAGCAATATGGAGCCTAATAACTAGATTGAATTGGCAATTGGGAATATATATAAAATGCAATTTTCCAGATTGCATTGGCCCGGCCCGGCCTCACCAGGGTTCCATTGGCTCTCATCTTTAATTTATTCTGCAGCATCTTGCTTTCGGTTCCTCTTTATTTCACCAGCGTAATTAGAAGCTAGCTAGCTTAGCTAGCCAGGATTATTGCAGTTCTAGTTCCATCTAGTTAATTGGTTGTTTATTTATTTGCGTTAGTACGTTTTTTGGAATTGTTCTTCAATTTGCTGCTTTTGATATAATTAATAAATTTAAGAGTTAATTCCAGCAAAGGTCCTCCGACTATCATGATTTTCCACATTTGGTCCTCGTCTTTTAATTTGGACAAAAAAGACACTTGACTATCAAAACCTTTTCCATCAAAGGTCCTTCCGTTATCTTAGCTTCACTTTCACGTTAATTTAAGGGGTAAATCTGTCATTTCAAAGCATGTGTCTTCTTTCCTCAATATTCGACTATATATTGCGCAAATTCTTCTCCTATCTTCGTTAGACTGGCCACCACCGCGAGCAAAACCATCACCGCTAGTGGCACTGCACTTTTCCACAGGATTTCTAATTTCGTGATTCCATTTGCCACGCACAGACCACTGCCTCCACTTCCCGAACGTAACCAACATCTCCTACAACCACAACATACACCTCCTCGTCAGCAGGCTGATGTGGAGATCGACCCACTGCTTACTCTGGCCGGCAACGGAGGTGGATGAAGAAGCTGGACACAGTCACACAGAGGTCGAGCAGTACAATTACCTATCGTTCCCCAGCGAGTTCAAATGAGAGATTTCCAGTGGGGTGTTAGACAATCACCTACCATTGATGAATGCTTAGAGAGAAACCCAGTTGTTCAATAGTATCTGAGTCGCCTGCTTTTGAGGGAGAAGAAGAAGATGATGATGATGATGAAGAAAAGGAGACAAAAAATGGGAAGAGGAACCCAGTTGTTCATATATCTTGCTCGCGTAGCTTCCTCAGTGGCCGAAATTGCTCGCCTAGGGTGGTTCCTCCATTATTGAAGCGTCTACAAGGTATAGTAGTGAAGCTCTTCATCTTCAAGGAATCAAGAAATGTCTACAAGGTATAGTAGTGAAAGCTCTTCGCCTCCATTATTGAGCACCTTAATTAGGACCGTAACATGGATGCAGAGGCGATGAGTATCTGCTCAAACAGAGCTTTTCTGTCGACTACTTTTCTTAGCAGAGCCAATTGTTCCACGGAGTAAACGCAACAGCCTCTGGACTAAAGGAACGTCTGAGCCGCCGGCGAGTTCACCAGAACTTCCAGCAGCTGTTGCCGGGAGAGCCTCGCGAGTGTGCCGTGCAAGGCAGGGGTAGTGATTGGAGAGGGGAGACAACGTACGATGACAACATCTCAAATTCTCTCTTCATATTACCTAACCATGATATAATGCACAGAGATAAATGCTATTCGAGAATCTGCAAAGTTGTATATATACATCATGTATGTATGTATAGACAGTTTAGTATCCAGGGTCCAGGGAATGTTGAGAGGGACACACAACGGTTAGTTCAATAATGGAGGAAGGACCCTAGGCGAGCAATTTTGGCTCTGAGGAAGCTACGCGAGCAAGATATGTGAGAAACGATGGAGTTCTTCGATGCTTCTCTGTTTCAGTTTCCTTATCTGCGTCAATTTGTTTCTCTGCGTCAATCTGCTTCTCTGCGTACATATAATGAGAAAGAAGAAAGCAAAAAGACCATTTTAAACCTCCACAAACGGCTAAGAGACGGAAGTTAGACAGGAGGACTATTGCTGGAACAGATTAGAAAGTCAAGTGTCTTTTTTGTCCAAATTAAAAATCAATGACCAATTTTAGAAAATCGCAATAGTCGGAGGAGTATTGCTGGAATTAACTCTAAATTTAATTTGGAGTCTAATTCCCATTTTTGTCTTGCAATTACATTTTTTTTCCAAACTTTACCTCTATAACCAGTTGATCGAGCTGCCCATGCGGGCTGCAATTACATTTCTAATTTCTGATTTCATAGTTTGGTCATTACGTACAACATTCCTAGTCTGGTGGTGTCTTGTCCATACTTTCAATTTAAAGACTTGGGTTTGATTCTTTACAAGTTCACACTAGTCTTAACTCATTATATGAGCTCCTTTATTTATTTTATTCCTTGAACCATTATTTGGGATCATTGTACATATATTCTTTTGGATCTAACTTTACGTTCAATGTTATTGTTATCAATTTCTAACCCATTTTTTATGTTCTTATTTGGTTTATGATAGATTTGATTCCTATAATACCATAAAAATATATATTAAGTCAACTACTCTTCCAAACTCATGGAGATTTGTTTTTTGTTTTGAATTTGAATTGGAATATCCAATTCAATTCAAAAAAATTAGGGATCGACTTAAACGAGGACCTATATGTTCCTATTATGAATGTGAATGACGGTGGTAGCAATGGAGATTCAATCGTTATACCGTGCACAAGGACGCGCACATTGCACCTTCCAAAACGACGTCGTTTTGTTAAGTTGTGAAAAAAAAAAATCTTCTGTTTCGAATGCACATAAACTCATAACAGAATATACATAAACGCATAACAGAATACACATAATCTAACATAATACATAATACACAAACTCTTAACATAATATACATAAACTCTTAACATAATACACATAAACTCATAACGTAATACACATAAACTCTTAACTGAATTCACATAAATTCGTAACACAATACACATAAACTTTTAACTGAATACACATAATGAGGTTTGGTTAACATAATACACATAAACTCTTAACCAATGTTGCAAAAATCGCGCCTAGGCGCCATTGCGCCGCCGCGAGGAACGGCCTCCGCGGCCTAGACCGCCTAACCAGCCGGTTTGGCGGTTCGGCGGATTTTTTTTTTTTTTTTTTTTAAATGTCGGAAAAGTTTCGGAATGCATAACTTTTGACTCGGTTGTCCGTTTTGGTCAATTTTTTTTTCAAATCGCTTATTTTTTCGAGATCTATACACCGCAAACGGCCGAAGGCGGTTTGGTCCACTAATTTCTCAAAAAAATGCTTCTTTAGCTCTTAATTTTAGTTTTTTATGTATTTAAATGGTTTAAACAATCTTTTGAACACTTTTACAACCACTTTCATAAATAGTTTCTAAGAAATAACTATGGAAACCTTATATTTTATTACTAAATTTTAAAAAATTTTAATTTTTAATTTTATTTTTAATTAAAAAAAAAAATCAGGCGCCGATTAATCGGCGCCTAGGCGCCCCCTTGGCGCCTAGGGTGCGCCTAGCGTGTTTTGCAACATTGCTCTTAACTGAATACACATAAACTCTTAAATAAAATTTTACTGAATACATATAATGAAGTTTGGTCTGTTTAAATAGACAGAATGAAGACAGCATGACGTCAGCATACGTTTTGTGCTTGGGCGCACATTGGTATATGCAAATTTGCAGATTGGAGGAGGTATGGCAACGTTATCATGAGATCATAAAATGTTGGGGTTTTGGTTTGGAAAGGGCCAACTTCGATGTGGGCCAATTGAACTGATTTTATTATTATTTTTTTTTGAATAGATCTTATATTATTGGGTCAAATCTGAATGATTATTGTTGTTTTTGGTATCATAACTTCAAAGTTGCTTTCAAAAAAAAAAAAAAAAAAAAAAAAAAAAAAAAAAAAAAAGAACTTCAAAAGTAGAGGCAAATTTTATTGTGGATCGTGCAGCCATGCCATCTATCAATCATTATTGTATGGACCATGGTCCACAAAAATTGTGTAGATCATATTTTGTCTATTATAAAATAATATACATTCAATATAAAAATAATGTACATTCAGTACAAAAATAGTGTACAGGGGATATACATTATTTTTGTTCTGAGTGTACATTATATTGTATAATGTATATTCAGTACAAAAATAATGTATATTTAGTATATTAGAAATGTACTTTTTGTTATGGTTCACATAACATTATGTGGACCATGGTCCATACAATAATTTGCCGCCATCTATGGTTTTGCCACGGACTCGGGTCCACTTTGTACGGTGGACCCAAGTCTAAAACGACGTAATTTTACATGTCTGGAATAATAGTGTCGTTATTGATACCGTTTTCTCGATTAAAGATATTTTTTGTGAATATAGAGTTTAAAAATTGTGTTATATTGTTGAATATAGAGTTTTGTAATTGTGAATATAGACTTCAAAAATTGTGAATATAGAGTTATGGAATTGTGAATATAGACTTCAAAAATTGTGAATATAATGTTTAAAAATTGTGAACAAATTTGTATATTGAGATCTAAAATTGTGAATATTCAGTTCAAAAATTGTGAACATAGAGGAATGAATTCTGAAAACAAACGGCAAGGAAGGAAGTAATTTATTTTTTTTAAAAAAAAATTCAGACGACATCGTTTTGAAGCAAAACGATGCCGTTTTGAACCTGGATCCACCTTGCAAGATGGACCCGGGTCCACAACATAATTTTCCATGCTCCATGAAGCCAATCATTATTGTGTGGATCAAGCTCCTGTTTATTTGACAATATACATATATGTATGAAATTTGCTATTTAATCTCATTTTATACCTACAATAAGTTCATTATAGCAATAGTATAACATATTAACATCATTTTAATTTTAATAGAGATTCATTTGATAATATACATATTTATATGAGCTCTACTATTCATTTTCATTTTTAATTTTACTACAAGTTTATTTGACAGTTGTGTAGACCATACTCCATATTAAGACAATTGATGTATTGATACGACATAAAACTTATGTGGCAATTTTAGTTTCCTAATAATAACTTCAAAGTAAAACAAACACTATAGGATGAGTAGAAAACATGAATAATACCCAGATTGCCTTACAAAGAAAGTGAAGCAATGATTCCACATCTTTACTAATCACAAGTATTCTTGGAGGCCACTACACTCTGCTTAACCTCAGCTCTGACACATGTTTCCAGGTTCCAACAATTCTGAACACAATAAATTAAACCAAACGACTTTGTTTTTGTTTTGTAATTTTATTTTTTCCTCTTTTCTTCTCTTTTATTTGGCATCTAAAAATTTGTGCAA